TGTTTCTCCCTGTTCCTCATAACAGTTTCTTGTATTGCATTTCTTCTGACCTTGCTATCTGAAACCAATTACAGGAGATCCATTCGAGCTGCATCTGTTTTCATAAGAAGCCTGGGCTGCAGTGTTTTTCTCAGAGATGAATATCAACATCAAATATGCTTCTGAGTGCCTCATTATTTATGTTAGAGAGAGAGGGAGATTTTGTAGCCTTCAGCTCTCGAGAATGTGTCGTACTGTGCTGTTTATACATTGAAGATATTAATGGGTGTAGATGTCATTTTTCATTTTAACGTCTGAAATTTGACAGGCTGATAGGTTAAACAGCCATATTTTTCAGTTAGAGTCGTAACCAGCATCTTATTTCCAGAGAATTATGTTTACTTTTCCTCATTGTAATTNAAAAAAGGTCAACCGTTTTTACTTTTTTACTCATTTAATATTGCCCGTTGTGTGATGCCACGAAAAAAAGTGGTGAGTAATAACTTTATTCAAAAATGTGCGGGGTTTGCGAGCCACAGAAGTGCTGCTACTTAAAGAAATCAATTATACAATCTTTGACTTAAGTTTTTGTTTCATCGCACTTACACCACTGGAACGCAAATGCATTGTGGCTGCTAAGGTTCGAGTGCACTTCTGTTTGGCACTTTGAGTCTTACCTTCTCTATCAGTAATGATATAGCGCTGAATTTTTTTTGTTTTAGCTTCGGAATCCGCAGTTGCCCTGTCACATAGCATCTGCAAATACTCTGTGCCTAAGTGCTTAACTCTGTGCACTGTAAAGCAGATTTTTTTAAAAAAAAGATGCTTCAGCTGTACAGATAGTCTTTATACACACTTGTAGCACAAGTCAATAATTGCTGTTGGAGTTTATTTTTCTATGGAGAGTCTAGTTTTGTTTTTAAATATTTAATAGCCACAATAACATAACTGCCAAATCTTTCTGTGATTGCATCAAACAATTAACAGCCTGTTGTGTAATCACTAAGCAAATTATTCAACTCTGTTAGATGTTTGCATTAAGTAATTCCCTCATAAATGTTGTTCACTAATGAAATAACAATAATCAAAACCCTTACATTTGATATAGTGCCTTTCAAGTCAGGAGGACGTCTCAAATCGCTTCACGAGATGTACTGTAAAGTCGAGTGACTCTCTTTTGTGAGCCAAATAACAAGAGATTCAGATTGCTTTTTAGTCAATATTGTGGCCCTAAAGTCCCAGTTCATGCCTACTTAGTTCCCACGTTATTAGTTAGTAGTCAATGCCAGGACCTGCTGGTATTTAATTCAAATAAAACAAGAGTCCTGCTCTGCATGTGTTAAATACTTTAATCAAGAGGCATTGGCTAACTCCGTTAGGCATGAGAAATACTAAATTTAAAACAAATGTGCTGTTAAAAAGAGAGGGAAAGAACACACAGTAGCTAACTAAGCCATTCGGCTGAGCTCATTTGAAACAGATTGTGGAGTAAATTTATACAGTAAAATTGTAAACATGTAGTAGATCGTCAGGTAATTGCTTTCAGAGCAATGAGCGCAGTGGACTTTAATACAGTATTTACAGAAGTCTAATGGGGTGTATTTTTAAGTAAGGATCTTCGTGCTGTTGTAAATGTCTCAGTGTATCACTTGTGTACTAGCATAGATTAGGGTCCTGCCTTGGATTCCTGGATTCTTCTGAAGGTTATCCTTACAAGCACCCTTTTTTCTCCAAATAAAAAACTTTTATTTAAGTTGAGAAACCTCTTGTCCATTCACTCTGGTCTACACGAGCAAACATATTAGTAATGCAGTAGGTGTGAAATTTTAGTTCTTGCTGATCTCTGTGATTACAGAAGTGTGGTGTTGAGCCAGTAAGCTCAGTAAATTCATTCTTGATTTCCATTTGTTTCTGTGATTTAACTTCCTGATTTATTCTAACCTCAGTCAGTTGTGTTCCAGGTGAGTTTCATGAGCTGTGTTAAATACTGCCGTAAAATATTAAGAGATTGCACCCAGTTTTCAAGTAATTTCTGTGAATCGTATTCCTGGTTTTCCTCTATCTGTTTTCAGTTTTGGCTGAAAATCTATCTCTTTGACCCCATCTATAGTCATCTCCCCCTTCCCCTCGCTCGGTGTCGAACTCTGTCATTGTGAAGCACTCCAACACACTATCCGATATGAAGGATACTGTGTAAATGTAAGTTGCCTGTGTTGGCGGATTACAGACGATTTTGACAAGTTTCCACACTTCAGGTGCTTGAACAGCGACTTTTGCACATAAGACATTTTTCCATAAACCTTTTCAGTGAGGCACTCAACAACAACAACAACAACTTGAATTTATATAGCGCCCTCCACGCCGGACGGCGTCTCAGAGCGTCTCACGCACAAAAAACTACTGTACGACTTTGCCGGAGAGAAAATCAAATCAAATCATTTATGTGGCAACAATGTGTTGCATGGTGAGTAGGGCTAAATTTTGATACTACTGCCAAAAAAAGTAAAACGTTGCACTATGAACGAGCATATTTATAGTAATTGAGCTTTCCTCAATAAATATTTCATGCTTAGCTGATGTTATTTGCTCATCTTCATATAAATATATATACATACACACTAGGTATCGAATATATTTTAAGCGCTTTGGGATGTCCTAAGCGCTTTATAAATGCATAGAAGACACTATTATAAATGTAAAGTTGTATTGTATGCTACATGCTCAAATTGCACCTCTAATTTACACTACGGGTGTTAAATTAAACTGAGTATTAGAAAGGCATTCAATGCAAAAGAAACAAAAACACAGTAATTAATGACAAAGATAGAATCGAACACACAAAGGTTATAAGCATCACAAACTACGAGCAATTCAGGCAATGCCGCCATTTAATACAGCATTTTATTAAATGTTCTGCCTGGTGCCTAGCTGAACTATTAATGAAAAAAATGGTATTTTAAATGAAAGGATCTTCAGCGATGTAACAATAAAGGGATTGTTTTTTGGGAAAGTCTCCAAATGTTAAGAATATGCTCAGCAAATTGTTACCAGAGCTTTCCATGGCTAGACAAATCAATGTTGTTAGGAGATGGTGGTGCTGCACTCAGTTTGTTTACTTTGCTTTTCTTCGTCTGCCTGCCTTCTCAAAAAACTTGCTTGGAGCCAGACTGTAGCAGCCCTTTCTGTCTTTTCATAATTGATCAGGGGATGACTACCTTCCCTGAGGGTTAAGACGTGGCAACTTTTTTCTGTTTGCTCAGCATCTCAATGCAATAGTTCAAACAATGTTCACACCAGCCGGCAGTGTAATGCCATATGCACATCCTGTCAAAGCAACTGTTGTCATGGATACTAGAAAGTACTAGAAAACCAACCCCTTGATTCTAATCAAAAATGTACTTTACCCCATCAGAGGTGAGGCGGATGTTTTTTTTTGAAAGCAGATTGATCAAGTGAATCTTTACTCTGTGCACCTAAATTTTTTATCACACATCAAGCGCTAATGATTTTGTTTTTGATGACTCTGTATCTCTGGCTACCAAACACATTTTTTTCCCAGAGTATTGTGGCAAGGACTTTTTGATAGGTAGTACCTGTTCCATTGCTCAGAGTACTGTCGATACATTGATTCCAAGCAAAGAAAACAACTCGAGTGTGAGCTTTTTCATGTTAGTTTTTTTTAACGTGACATCATCATATGGTAGCCCAATGATTGCACTTGTGTGCGTGTGTGCGTGTGTGCATGAGTGAGTGTGTGTGGGTGAGTGAGTGAGTGTGTGTGTGTGGTGATTGAGTGCACGGGTGTGTACGGTGTATATGATGAATGAGTGTATGAATGTATGCATGTGTGTGTGTATGTACGTGTGTGTGTATGCACATGTGTGTTGTAGTGTGGTATGTGAGCTTGTGTGTGGTACATGTGTGAGTGGTGTGTGTGTTTTAAAGGATTTTCTTTTCCTGTGTTATGTGTACATTTTAACTCCAGTTGTTTAATGCAGTGAGAATTCAGAGATATATCGTCCAGCATTTATTTTTAGCACTACCTAACATCTGGCCAGCAGGACAAAATCTTTGTGCTGTCAGAGTGTCATAATGTGAATGATCCTGGCAATCCTTTTATATATCTATTATAATAGATATATAAAAGGGTTTTTCATTTAATTTACTATGTTCAAAATCACTGCCAGTGTTGGCTGCCACAAAATTATATTTCACATAAAGCAGCTATTTAATCATTGAGGACAAGTGTCAGTAAAATAATCAGCTGCTCTTTAGCATATGTTACCAATATATACATCAGAAAAACAAGATCACATTCATTTGTCACAAAGTCCCTTTTTCATCATTGGAATTAAGACCCTTTTTTTATATATTGTAAGCATTTTTCACCCTGCATGCAATCTACAGTACAGAATCCCTGTTAATCCACTTCCAAGATATCTGATGTTGATTTGTCAATTTTAATTACAGCTTCCAGTAACATTTGAAGTCTTGTGCTTCTGCAGCAAAATGATATTATGAATATGCAAATATATGGTAATAAGAGGGGGAGGGGGTCATTTCTGTTGAACACACACACACAGTGGATGAATCCCTTGCGGAAACATGTCTATTGATGCAGTTTACATCAGTTTGTAATGTACTGTTAAGAATTGCTCTTTGCTTTCGTGTTTTAAGGAAACTCTTAACTGCATATGTTGCAGTCTCACTGTCAGCTGTAAGTCTGGAACAAAACTTGTGAAATTTGCATTAGTGAAATTTTTTTACAATGGTTGTGTGGTTGTGCCTGTAAAAAAAAAGTGACCAATGTAGCACAAACCGGTGACTCTGCAATGGGGGGGGAGAAATAAACACTGGTTATTGAAGAAGAAGTACTGTTTGCTGAGGAAAGAGGCGGACTGCCACACATAAAGATTTCGTTTTTGTGTACATTTTAAATTACTGTGACTTTAGTAATGAAATTGACATCACAGCTTAAGGAAACAAACTTTATGAATAATGATGCTTTTTTTCGCTTGCAGGCACTACAAGCAGCAAGACAGCTTCTTCTTCAGCAGCAAACCAGTGGTCTGAAATCTCCAAAGGGAAACGACAAACAGCGAACACTGCAGGTCAGCAGGCTATTACTGATCTTTTGTAGTTGAAATAATTGAAAATCTTCAGGAAGTTGAAGCATTTTTTAAAAAAAAAAGACATGAATATTATATTCCCGTCCATGCACAGACAAAGTCAGAATAAGATTCACATAATTGACCCTACGTATTATGTCTTTGAAATATTTTATTCGATGATTTTTAAAAAAATTTTTTTTAAAAAGTCCAATCAAGTAAATTATCAGCAGCTTCGTTCACTTTGTTTCTTTTTGGAGAGGGTTTTGCTAAGTTATTTGCTGTCCGCAAATCTGTGAATAGGGTGAAGTGTAAAGCAGCATTTCTGGTACTGAATTCTGTGAGGTGATTAATTAGTATTAAATGCATTCAGTGCATCACATACTTCCTATTACTACTCGCAGGTTAGAAGATAAAAAGCAACTCCCACCTTTCACTCGAGACTCAACCCCAGGTCTCAATCGTGCAGTAGTTCCCAGAGTTGAAGCTGTTCTGTTCTGTATCTGGTCTGATTTTCACTGAAGACCGCTAGCAACAGACTTTTGAGTTACAAACAAAAGGGGACAGGAGATCTTTCTTGTTTACCCATCCAATAGCAGTCTCCTGATTGCTCATGTTTAAGGACGAGATCAAATGAAAATAAGCCTGAGTGACCGAGAATCCCTCAGGAGGAAGTTGTTTCCAACAGCCCCTGCATAAGTACGTTACAGTGAGCAGCACTTTCTGTGAAAGTGTTCCCTCTGGTTATTCTTTTAAGGAGGAAGACACACCAACCCTGTGCCGTGTCCAGGCAGTGTTGTTTCAGAGAGTGTAAAGACATAGCATCTATGTACAGAAACGCTTGATGCACGTTCCAGTCAAATCGTTTTCCCCGCTCCCCATTCCCGTTTTTATGAACAGACGGGAACTTTGTTGACCCCGCAAAGCACCAATCAAAATATTCCTTTGTGATGTTTTGCATCACAGCAGGGAGAAAGGAAATGCTCACTGTCGCGCCAAAGTGCAGTCCGTTCCCCATATTATGACAGTTTTCTTCAACTTGTTCTGCTTTAAATTATATCAGCAATTAGCATATTTCAACCTTATTTTTAGGTTTAAATTGCAGTGTGAGAGTGCGCTCTCCTCTCAGATAATTAGTGCTATCAAGGAACAGTAGGTTAGCTCATTAGTACCATGCGCATTTAATTAGAGAAGAGAAAATTGGAGTTAACTCATAGTTAATATTTTCACAGAGTGCTACAATGCCAACACCTTCAATTGGAGTCGCACCCCTGCGTAACTAATTATGGTCTGATGAGATAGGGTACGTGTTTGGCGAGAATACCAAACTGTTGACAGAGTTGTTTAGAGAAAGGAAGCAAGGATCTTTTTTTCTCTATCGCTGCTAGGGAAATTGTTGAGTAAAGTAGGTAATTTACTTGATCACTGTACTTAAGACTTAATTGGTGTTGCTTGTTAAGTATTAAACAGAACTCTGGCTGCACAAAGGCAGAATGGTTATGGATTTTGCAGTGTACAACATGACTCGTGTGCTATTTGAGGTGCAAAGCAGACTGATGTTCTGCTAAGTAAATGCTGATCTCAGATAGGTGAGTGGCTGATAGATTTGTGTGCTTAAGTGCAAACATTTTATAAATGTAAATAAAGTAAAAACAGCTAATGGGAGAACAAAGAGTACAGTATGACAGGTGGTCCATAAGGCTAAGATTGGTTAACTGTTTCCTTTAATGGGTATGTAGTTACATTTTTATAGTGCAATGAATGCAGTATTTTACAAAAAAATGCATGCAGATTTTCTCCATGGGATGTAATCAGCAATAGGTACACTGTAGGATGAAAGCTTATTTACACATGACCTGCTAACAGAGATCAAGCTTTTTCGAATAGGCCTGAACACCATTTTTATGTTTGAAGCATATTTTTTTTCACACAGAGCAAAACCCATTGGCATCCTCTAGCATTTCATTTTGGACCTAATACTCATACTTCCCACGTGATTTTTTTTGTGTGGCACAGAATAATTTGCATCAAATTTTCCCAAAACTTTTGCAAAATCAAACCGTGAAAGCAGAATGTGCAGTAGATTTCAACAAACTCCAAGTGATTCGTCTCCGTAAGAGTGTGAAGAGTTTGCAGTGTGAAGTTTTTCTTGCCCTGGCAGTAGCCAGAGTTATTAGTGAGGCCTGTATAGACTTTCTTTTAGAATGACCTTGTCTATCTATGGGTTTTGTGTGTCTGCCTTTAACGGTGCAGGGTTACAGCTGTAATATTATAGGCACTCAAGTACACTTTATGAAGCATAAAATCAACGGGAAGAAATTTCAGGGGAAAAAAAAAATTGTTTCTGAAACTGTTGCCAGAGAGCGAACACACAGGCTGCTCACACAAAGGCCACGATCGAAGCCACGCGATCCTCATTGTAGACTGACGGTGGACAGACTCATTTTAAATTTATGAAACAATTACTCTCGATCCCATCGGGTCTGCAGTAATTGTGTTGAACTTGAAGTCATTGTCTTTATTGGTGAGCCTATTATTCTACATTGCGAGGCGTAATATGTTGGGAATGTCAAATTTTACATGAACCTGGATGTTCGTCATAACTGATTGCTCGGAAACACACACATACACACACATACTTGACCCGCGGCGAATGCCAGGAGTCTTCTTTGTCCTGTGATCTGACTTCATGCAAGTCGGAGGCAAGAAAAACAAAATCTTAACTTCAACACAAAACTCAGAATGTCCTCAAGTACAATGATTCACAAGCAACCACAACAACAACAACAACAAAATTTCATTTGTAAAGCGCCTTTCACGTCGGGAGGACGTCCCAAGGTGCTGGACAGTCAGTGTTTTGGACCTGAGCTGGGGGGTCGGAGTCGGGGAGGGTGGAGGGCAGTGGGGGAAGGCGATGACCGAAGGCACAGTCGAGGAGAAGGGTCTTGAGATGGGTCTTGAAGGAGGCAAGGGAGGGATCGAGGCAGAGGGACTGCAGGATGGCGTTTCAGAGGATGGGGACAGAGTGTCTGAAGGCTTGCTCGCCAGTGATGGGCCGAGCGAGGCAGGGGACGTGAAGCAGGTTGGAGCAGAGGGAGCAGGCAGGTTGGTAGGGGGTTAGGAGGTTGCAGATGTAGGGGCAGCAAGGCCATGGAAGGTTGGGTGAGGATGGGGGTGATAGTATCACGGAGCCTGGTGCGGGAGAGGACACGGGCTGCAGAGTTCTGGATGATTTGCAGCCTGTGGAGGGAGGAGTTGGGGAGCCCGACAAGCGGTGAGTTTGCATAGTCAAGCCTGGATGTTATGAATATGCGTATGAGGGTTTCGGCGGCCTGCTGTGGAGGAGCCGGGCGATGTTGCGGAGGTGGTGGAAGGCAGAGCGGGTCATGACACGGATTTGGGGTAGAAAGGATAGTTGAGGATCAAACAAGACGCCAAGGTTCTGGACTGGCTTAGTAAGGTGGAGTGTGCATCCTCGTGGAGTCCTGTAGCTCAGTGGTGAGAGCACTCGCCTTGCAAGTGAGACACCGGGGTTCAATTCAGGCAGGGCGAAACCTTGGGCAAGTTTCCTTACTCCACACGCCTGATAATAATCCCTCCAAAGCAAAAAAAAATAATAAATTGTGGGACACTGCTGTGCGCAATTGGCTGCCGCGTTTCGCCCACAAATATACGGTCAATTCACTTTACAGTCTATCCTGTGAAGCGCTTTGAGTCGTCGAGAGGACGTGAAAAGCGCTATATCAAATGCAAGGATTATTATTATCCTTGGATGGTGCTGCTGTCAGCACCTGAGGTGTGAATGCGCTGACAGGAGCCAATCAGGAGGGCCTTTAGTTTCATGAGTATTATTGGGGAGGGCATTCAGTTTCTCCAAGCTACTCATAAACAGATTTAACCTGTGTACCTCTGTGACCTGCTAAACCTTTTATTACCCTGTTCGCTCCTCCGCTCAGCAAGCTCCAGCCTGCTCCACATCCCCCACCCCACTACCGGTGCTCTGGTCTTCAGCCTTTCTCCACCCACCCTTTGGAACTCCATCCCACATTCCCTTTGCTTTGCTCCCACCCTTGCCTCCTTCAAGGCACATTTCAAGACCCTCCTCTTCGACCGCGCCCTCGGCCGTGCTGGACAGTGGCGGGAGTACAAGGCCGAGAATGAACACAATAATGAAACTTTAGTTTTCAAAATACGTGCTCCTTTTTGACAAATTGAATGTTCGAGTATAAATTGTCGGCAGTCGGGGGCCTGTAAACTTCCAACCCACTTAATAACTTGCAATCGCCCCACAGTGCTTCTGCATTGTGTAGTTACTGATAACCAGTGATATCACTGACCATGTGCTCACAGAGATACTCCGCCCCACCCTGAGCAATGCTAGATTCTATGTCACCACTGATATCACTTCCGGCTTGCATTTTGCATTCTCTGCGGGCAACAAGTGATGTCGCCAGTGACCTGATGACAGGAAGCTGCCCGTTTTTTGGCCTGCTGGAAAGCCGGTAGGCATGAAAGAAACTGGCGAGTCCTCATGCAGAACCCAACTGGTGGCCCACAAGGCATAAGTTTTACAAACAAACCCAAATTATAATAGATGCCCAAAACCGGGGTTCTTTGTACAAAGCTTTGAGTAATCAAGCATAAAAAAATCTCCAGTGGTGCAGTTATGAAATATCGGCTAGCAGTAAATTAGACCAAACAGATTAAGGAAGGAGACTATTCATAGAGGGAGAGCCAGGGAAGTTGAGTCTATTACGATATTCTATTCTGAGTCTTTACTAGCAAAGAAACAATTTGTTACTAATGATGGAATTTGCGGTAGGCACCAACAATAATGCAAAGTAGCATTAATAAAACAATATGATATTTATGGTAGTTTAGTTGTAAGATTCCTCTTATTTTCAGAGCTCCATGGGTTGGCAATGCTTCTGATTACTGGAAGGGGATTTCTTGTTAAGGAATCCTGTTAGAAATTGCTGCGCATTAGACCTCCCCCCATCCAG